TACCCCCAAAAAAGAATATAATCATATAACTAGTTGCTTTCTTCCTAATCAGTACTAAATTTGTGAATGCTAGAAATCAAATGTCAACGACAATATAAATCAAATGTTTTCAGTGGACTACACATAGCAGAAGATAAATGGCTATATATATATATATATATTATATATATATATATATATATACATACATATATATATATATTAACAAGAATTCCAATTAGAAAAAAAAACCTGTAAAATCCAAAGTAGATGATTGCTGTGCCTATCTAGTCACCTTACATTTGAAAATGGGATCAAATTTTTCAAAAGGCTATAACAAATGTGATCAATTAAGTTTAACCTCTTTTCCTTACAGCATAAGGTTTTGAGTTCTTGTCATAAATGTTTCTGATTTATTTCCCTCCATTCAATTCAACTCAAAATGTTAATAAATTCCTTTATACAATTAAGGTACATTTCATCCTAAGCTCTGATGTCCTATTAGAGGAGAAGAATTATTAATCACCTGTCAAAATTTCTTTGTTTTAGCATATATACGCTCTTCTACATCACTTCACATTTACACTAAATAGACATCATGCAATCACTACATTTCCCTCTATTATAGGATTGTATGCAAACATTAGATTCCATTTTTTAATGCCTAAAATAATATATTTCATTTTCTATCCTCAAGATGGCTGAGTCATCATTATGGAAACCAGAAGTCAGGAACTACTTCTTGAACAAAATGTTTTATTATGATCAAGAAAGAGTAGGGAAGTTGATTGTGGGATAGGTTAACGATGATCATAAAATTTTAGATTATTTTGGTGATTATAATACTGCAAAATGGATTAGCATTAAGTCCCAGAAATCAGAAGAAAAGACCCACAAAGTTGGGCCTTCTGCTCCACTCTGAAGATAATAGTCATTTTATTTAACCCGGAAAGAGATTAATGCTCAGGAGAGGAATGTCATAGACAGAAATGGTCCTAGAAAATAATTACCTTGGTCATGTGGATATTTTGCATTAGTCTCAAAGCTCAAAAAGTTATGAAAGGAATAGAATTACTTGACATAAAATGAACAAGGAAATGTAATAATAAAATAAGAACACTGAAGTGTTCAGAGGTTTTGGCTATATTTCATTAAGAAAATAATTATAGAGAACGAAGACTCATATATTATGAAGTATTTCTAGGATTGTCAAATAAATAGGGACTGAAAATAGCATTATTTTAGATTAATAGGTTCAGCAACAAATTAGAAAGTTATTGGCTTACTTTATTGTCTATGACTTTTCTCAGTAACTTGCTTGCCTTTGTTGATTTTAAAAACTTCTGTTTGAAGACTTCTTCAAAACTCTAATATGATTGAATGTACTTTCCAAATGATGAGGACTGGTTTCAAGTGCTAATAAAGGAGATGAGTATATTGATTTTCTCCAACAGTAATTTTATAAACTTAATTTTAGTTAATAGAAGAATTTATGCACTATCACCAAATATCTAGAAGTAGTATCAAAACAATAATCTGGAATAAAAGGCTTTATTTTACTGACTCATAAGTAGATCATTTATTGTGTATTTACTAACAATGACAATGTGTCAAACCAAATATTCATTGCCAGCAGAAAATTTGACCAGTACTATACTTACAAAGAGTGCATGAGCAACTTACATCTTTGCTAAAAATTAGTATATATATTTTATATTTGTATCTCCTTCAAATAAATTTAAATAAAAATAGATCAAAATGAATTGTCACATTAATGGTCCTTCATAAAACAATCTTGAACATATACTATGACAACTCAGTAAAGTTATTTTTCTCCTACATTTCCTTCTTTGATGACTTAGTTTCTATATAATATCTATATACTGTCTCGATCAAATGGTACCTTTTTTCTAACTTAGTAAATTAAAAAAAAAATCCTAGAAAGAATCTGAAATATGTGCCTTACTAAAACAGTGTAAGTAGCTATGATTGTGACCAGCTGAAACTTACAATATTAAGGAAGATGAAGTTGTCACACAAAGAACTCAAGCTGAAGAACTCCCAGGATGTTGCAATTATTCAAAACTTGTGATCTGGGAGGATGGGAAGGTGAGGGAGGGAACTGGAATTGACATGTAAAACAACCTTGTTTCAAATTTAAATGAAAAAAAGAAAAAAAAAGTCTTACTAGGTTTTTTAGGTGCTAGGGATTTTGCTCACCTAACATGTTTACCTCACATGTAGGAAGACCTGAGCTTGATCTCAAGCACCATATAAAACCAGGGGTGGTGGCACATGCCTGTAATCCAATTTCCGGAGCAGAGGAAAAAGCAGGATCAGAAATTTAAGGTCATGCTTGGTTACACAGAATTCAAGGCCACCCTGTGCTATACGAGATCCCTTTTCAAACAACATTATCGAAATGTTGTTCATGCTTTAGTACTGGCCTTATAACACTACATATAAAAAACATTAAGCAAGATTTAATCATTTCAAAACTATAAGCTAAATTAGCAGTGGGCTTTCAAACATTTCTGCAACTGAGGAAAGTGTGAAAACTATTTTTGCCTTTTGTTTAAGTTTCCTGGAAGAAGACATTAGAAAAAATTAACTAAGGTAACACTGTAAGGGGCAAGTGGAAGAAATGAACATTTTATAAAAACCCTTTTTCTGGTATAATCTCAAATTTATATGACTACCACAGAAATTGTAACAACAAGCAGTTTAGGACTAAGTAGCAGCTAACTGGGAACTGAAATTGGTTATTAAAGCAGCCACTCTCCCACTCTCATCCAGTCTTTTCTTATACAAAGGCTTGCAAATTCTTCCTTGGTTACCCAATTAGCCTTTTCAAGAAGCTGGAAAATGTGTCACCAACAGATACAAAAACAAGTTATCCAACTTAAATATCATGTGAATTTAAAATTACAGCAAATAGTCTTTACCAAAGTTCAAAGAAACTGCATTTTGCACTGGATAGATTTTTTTAAAAAACTAGTGTACTGGAAAACTAATGTGTGTCACATTACATACATCATCTGATGTACTTGCTTCAGGGGACCTAAAGCAGTGGAGAGAAAGGAAATGTAAGAATGTAACTGGGTGGGAGGTAAAGAAGATGGAGTATGCAGCACTCACTACAGGCAGCATGGGAATTTCTAGAAGGCAGTCCATGGAGGTAATCTGACTCCCACGAACACAGCTTTTCTCTGAATATTGTTGCAACAGACTCAAACTAAACTGGCCTTTTAGACAAATTCAAAGAAAGAGTTTTAATTAAGCATTCTTACTTTCTGTGAATATTCTCTTCCCTTACTGAGAAACTGCAGAGAATTTTTTTCATGGGGGGAGGGGGAGACAGACAGACAGACTGACTGACAGACAGAGGCAGAGAGGAGAGAGAGAGAGAGAGAATGTGTTGCGCGTGTGTTGGGGGGTTAGTGGGAATCCAGGAGGCTGAAATTTTAATAGCAAATAACGGAAAGAGAACAAGCAGCAAAGATGAGCCATTGCTGGACTTCGTCTTAGTCATCTTTATAACCCCCAAAACACCCAATGCACTGCACACAGGGGGCAGTGGATAAATAATGAATTAGGTTTAATTCAATTCACTTGCACTTACATTGTGCTTTGCAGTTACAAAGCATTTTCCCCACATATTAGATGAAAAAAAAAAAAAAAAACAAATTAAGTGAGAAGTAGCAGGGCGAATCAGTGAGAAAAAGGAAGTAAAACAGATACAGGGAAATCCAGAAAAATAAGCAAATGTCCGAAAAGGTGGGGGGGGGGAATCAGGGGAGAAGTGAGTTTCTCCCTACTACTTTCAATACCTTCCAACCAACCAACCACCCACCTTTCGTTTTCAACTACGTGGAGCTTAGAAAGTCTGACTGCAAAGCAATCCTTAGAAAAAAAAAGGGGGGGCTTCTTCATATTTGGAAAGGGTATTTTCAGACAAAAGTCTTGGAGCCTACATATTTTACGTTTGTATGCTCGGGTACTACCTCAAAACGCTAATATTTCCCAAGCATTTTCCAAGCGTGTTCAAGAATTTCTTATTCCAACCCAGGCATCCCTTTCTCAGAGTTCAGTCTGGGGATGGATTGGAGAGATCCCCTATAAGCCCCTCAACTCAGACAACAGAGGGAGATAGTGAGACAGGAAAGCCCAGAGACTAGAGAAAAAGCCTACATTTGTGTCTAGGAGGAGGGTGAAGGTTTGAAACTGGTTATTAGAAATTGTCGGGGGCGGGGGGACCCTTCAAGATGGAAGAAAAAAGAGAGTACTTGAATGCGCACCACTTTAAACCTGATGTTGAGCCCTTAACAAGAAGCAAGAAGAGGTCTAAAGCTTCCGCACACCTCAACCTAGGAAAGCGAAGGATAAGCTAGGGTGCCCATATGTATCAGCAGGGATGATGTCCCAAGGGAAGCTTGTTTTCTACACTCCAAAGTAGCGCGCCCCCTTCCCGATCATCCTCAGCCCAGCCTGCTGGAGGGTCCCCAGCTTCCAACCTGAGCGACTGCATCCTGACCCCATTATGCTGGTTTAAAAGTTGCCAGGAGAGTTGGCACTGGGGAAGGCACTTGGTAGGGTGAGACCTAGAAGGGGCCTCAGGTTTCCAGGAACAAAGGGACCCGGGAGGGGGCAATCGTAAGAATAGGTCCCGGGGGCTCCTCCCTTAGCTGAGAAGCAAGGGTTGTCGCGTCCTCCGGGCCCGAAGGCGTCGAGGGAAGCGGGAAGTGGCTAAGATGCTCCGGGATTCCACCGCCCTGCTTCCAGCTTCAACCAGGTGGCGCCCGCAGCCCTCTCACTCCCCGCGCCCCTCTGGCTGAAGACAAAAGGAGATCAAGGTCCCCGGGTCCGTACCAGAGCCCGAGGACCCTCAGTCCATTCCCGGGGAGGACCGTAGGCAGTTGGTTAGAAGCTCCCAGGACGGGTTATACCCTGGCGGGCGACCCTCCCTCATACCGGGACCCTGTGCCCCAGTGTCGCCTCGCCCTCCGCACAGAGGGCATTACCTTTCATCCAGTCCACTACTTGACTCGGAGACCATTTGCTCACTGGTTCCATGATCAGAGCCATGGGCGGCGGGGTCGGTGCCGCGTGGGACGCGGAGCTCGGACAGAAGGCGAAGTCCGCAGCCCGAGGCGCTCTCAGGTGGGGTCGGTGGCCAGCTGCAGCCTTCCGGGGTGGGCGGTGCGAAGAGGGCGGCTTTTGTGTGGCGGTCCCAAGGCTGGAGCGTCGGAGGCGACCGCGGTGGGAGCGGCGACGGCCGGGCAAAAGCTCTGGGGTCGGCTCGGTCCCAGCCCTGGCGGCGGCCGCTGCTGCAGCCTCCTCCGCCGCTCAGCCCCGGGTGTGCGTCCCGCGGGGCTTCAGTTCATGGCTCCAGCCGCCGAGGGTCGCGGCAGGAGGGGAACGAAGGAGCCGCCAGCGCAGCGCTGCAGCCAACTTGCCCGCTCGCTCGCCTGGCGCGCGGGACTGGAGCCCCCGGCACGACGAGCCGCCGGGCGGAAATGACGAGGGGCCTCCTGCCACCCAAAATATCTCTCCGCAGCCCTCGGGTGCGGGGCGCGCGCTCCACGAGCCCCCCGCCCGCTCGCCGCCGCGCGGTCCCGCCCCCAGGGCCGACAGCAGGCGCGCAAGAGACGTGTGCGCGTGCGTGTGCCGGCGCGAGCCTGGCCCGGAGTTGTGCCAGACAGGCGACCAGGTGCGGGCGGCTCAAGCTCCTTTCTTCCCGCCCCCCCCCGGGGGGGCTGCACTGTGCCAGACCCGCGCCCGGAGGGCGTATGCAGTGGTGCCTGAGGTGGTGGTGACCAGGGCTCTAGCTAAGTCTGACTGAGCCTGGGGTCGGTTAGTCAGTCAGGTGCGGCGGCAGGGGCATGCCTCCCAGTGGCCTTCCAGGAGACGAGGTAGAGAGACGAGACTGGCCGCCCCACCACTCCACCAGTTGAACCGACAGCCGAGGGAGTGGAGGGTATCCACCACCTTGGGGAGGGGACACCGCTAAACTGCTAGGGTGACAGTGGGAACCCTGGCTTTCCTCGCTGTTGCCTTCTTTACTGCAGAGTAGGTTCCCGAGGTGACTCCCCCGGAACCGAGCATCCCTGCGGAAAACCGGGGTGTGGGCTTTTGTAGACGGAATGGCTCTAGCCAGAAACGCCTAAATGAGGCTAGATGGCTGGTGCTGTCGGATCTCCCCTGGGTGCTAAAAGGGACCTGGAAAGTCAGAGCAGTCAACTGCAAGCGGCTCCAGGTGATTCTGAGACACATCCCCCACCCTTACACGTGCCTTTTCAAAGCTTCTGCTTCAGGTTTTAGGCCAACTCCTTCAACACAAGGTCCCCGATTTTACATGATGTCATTTTGTGTTCAGATGTTCTTATATAAGAACCGGAGAGTTTAAATGGGATTTAAAGTTGGTGACAAATTGCAAACATGATGTTTCACATATTGTTTGCTTCAAAAATCTATGCAGGCTTCCATGCAACATTTAGTAAAATACAGTTTGCCTAATGAGGCTTCACTTTCAGTGACAATTCTAGAGCATCTAGTATCAAACTCTACCACCATTATAGTTTTTCCCCTACCTCTGAATAATTCTTTTGTTTTTTCTTTTCTTTTTTTTTTTTTTTTTTTTTTTTGTTTTGTTTTGTTTTTGAGTAGAGCAGTTTATGGTTTTAATGTTAACTTGACAGAAGCTAGAGAGGGACCTCAGCTGAGAAAATGACGCCATGATAGCCAGCTGAATGGCATTTTCTTTCCCCCCCCCTTTAAAACTTAAATGAGAAACAATCTTATTTTACATATCAGTCCCAGATCCCTCTCCCTCCCATCCTCTCATGCCTCCCACCAAACCGGCATCCTACCCCCTATCCACTCCCCAGGGAGATTGAGGCCTCTCATGGGGAATCTTCAAAGTCTCTCACATCACCAAAGTCTCTCACATCATTGGGGCAGGACCTAGGCCCTCCCCTGTGTATCTACACTAAGACAGTATCCCTCCACAGGGAATGGGCTCCCAAAGTCCATTTGTGCACTAAGGATAAATACTGGTTCCACTGCCAGAGGCCCCATAGAGTGTCCAGGCCTCTCAACTAACAGCCAAGTTCAGAGGACCTGGTTCCGTCCTATGCTGGTTTCCCGACTGTCAGACTGGGTCTGTGAGCTCCTACTTGCTCAGGTCTGCTGTTTCTGTGGGTTTCTCCAGCATGGTCTTGGCCCCTTTGTTCATCACTCCTCCCTCTCTGCAACTGGATTCCAGGAGTTAGGCTTAGTGCTTAGCTGTGGATCTCTGCTTCTGCTTCCATCAGCTACTGGGTGAAGGCTCTAGGGTGACATTTAAGGTAGTCATCAATATTTTAGGGGAAGGGCATTTAAGGTAGCCTCTCCACTATTGCTTAGATTTTTAGTTGGGGTCATCCTTGTGGATCTCTGAACATTTCCCTAGTGCCAGATTTCTCTTTGAAACTATAATGGCTCCCTCTATTAAGGTCTTTTCTCTTGCTCTCTACCTCTGTTTAACTCTTAAAGAGCTAATTGAGTAAAGAAGAAACTCCTCTTATTTCCTATAACCATTTCAATAACGTTAATAAACCATGCCAGTTCCTACTATAGACATGTCTAACTCAGTATTATGAAATAGAGAATGACACTTTCTTTTTTTTTAATTTTTTTATTATGTATACTGTGTTCTGTCTGCATGTTTGCTTGCATGCCCGGAAGAGGGAACCAGATCTCATTACAGATGGTTGTGAGCCATTATGTGGTTGCTGGGAATTGAACTCAGGACCTCTGGAAGAGCAGTCAGTGCTCTTAACCTCTGAGCCATCTCTCCAGCCCAAGAATGTCACTTTCTTTAGTTGGCATGAATTAGCAGCCCCCCCCCCAGAGTTCAAAAAATAGTTGATAAAATATTGTTTTCATACAACTGGTACAAAACATAAAATTTAAGAAGCTTGTGTTGACACATGTTTATTAATAACACAAACTTCAAAATATAAACAAACCTTTTAAAATAAATTTAATTGTACAAGTAATGTTATCAAAATATTACTATTAATAATAACACAAATTTTATTGATCAAGGTGCTAATTAATCACCATATGTTTTATTCTAGCCTCATATTAGCTGTACTATTAGCTACATTTTACAGCTGAAACTTTAGCTATCACATTCACTTCCTATTCCCTAGATCTATTACACATAGTTACATAAATGTTAAACAAATTAGTGAATAGTGCCTTAAAGATAATATTTTTCTGAGATAATGCTGCATGATTGTAACTGCAAGTTCACTCCAGAACATCAACTTTGAAAACCAGTGAACAGGTTTGTGTCATTGACATGAAATGGGCTATTGTAGTCAATGAGAGGTCCACTGAAGGTCTACTGGATGTATTTCATAGAACTTAACCAAAAGTACAAATCAGAATATCTATTGTCTGATGAGCAGGCTATCAAGAGAAGTGGCACACACCAGGATTATTCAGACAAAGATAGATGGATGGGTGAATGGATAGATAGATAGATAGATAGATAGATAGATAGATAGATAGATGATAGATATTGACATTGATCTTATGTGACAAGGCCACTGTAGTGGGATATTCATTTTGTCTCCTTCTGTAATACTGACCAAGCCCATTGGGGGTGGAGCCAGGGGCGGAAGTGACCTGTGAATGAGGCCTGAGGAGGAGCAGGGGAATGCTCTTTTGCTGGCAGGATGCAGAGAGGAGAGCATCCGGTGGAACTTGCTGGTGTTCATCTGTCTAGGTTGTAAGTTATTTCTCCCTGAATAAACATCTATCTGGCCTATTTATCCTGGTCTTTATTAAACCGCAATAGGCAACTGGCAAAGAAAATAGGAAAGTAAGATTCCAGAGCAAGGAGAGAATTGAGGAATCCCTTATATCAGATTGAAGGAATATATAGTCCCTCCAATTCATTTTACAGTTAAGCTTTTATGTTTTTCTCAATCATGTAAAATGACTGTAACACTAAATCTAAATCTAAGAATTAACCAATATGCGAGTGTAGATTCCTATTGTCTAAAAGATTGCACCAAGGCCTTAAGCATTAACTTCTCCTCCCTTAGATTCCCCCATGAAATATAGCATTTTACTTTGACTTTGACAATATAATCAGCATAAATCATTCCACTTAATCTCTTCAGAACATAACAGGCTTTTCATTTTATGTAGTCTTGATTTGGGAAGGGGAGAAAAATGAAAGGATTAAATCATCACAGCTCTTATTCTTTTATTCTTAACTACAGATGACTCAGCTGAATCTTTCTGGCATTTTTCTTTCCACAAGTATTCAAATAAACTACCATTTATGTACTCTGACTGTTACTCAGAATTTAACATCTTCCCCATTTCTGTGCATATAGTATAGTGTGTTTCTTTTAAAACCTGGTCATCTTAAAATTTCCCTCTCTTAGTTAACAATACAATATTTAAAGGAGTAAAGTATCTTTTCATAAATATTAATTGGTATGCTGCCACACATTCTTCAACAGGCTAGATTTAAAAGTGAAATTATGGACCTTTGACAAAAGCCTCAGATTTTTTTTTATTGAAGCAAGTAGAAATGTTAATTAAATTAATGGTATATATGCTTTTTGAGATATTTGCAACCACATCAAAACAAATTACTTCAAATAATCTTTTTTTAATCTATTTTTTAAAAATGATGTCAGTCCAACTTGTGACTCTGGTTGTTAACATTTTCTCCCTCTAGGTTTTAAAATAAAAATGAAAATCCCTTAACTAAAGTAGCCTCAGTTAAGATTTTAGAGTATAATGTAGCTTTAATTGGCTTTAGATGATCAATATACAAATACTCCTCTAACTGATCATATATTTAGCAATTATGTCAGCTGGAAAAAGGATTTTTAAGGCTTTGTCTCTTTGGAGCTAAAGAGAATATAAATGTTTTCCAAATTGGGCTTATAGAGATCTTTTATTTTTATTTACCATTTATTTTGCAAAGATAGTCACTTTGCATTACTCTACAAGATATATGTTAACACTTTTACTTATTTAACATTTGTATAAAATATCTTTCAGAGGCATTAATGGTGAAACTTTTCAGTTTGCTTAGATTTATTTATTTATTTATTTATTTATTTGATACAGTTGTATTGATTACTTGTCTTTTTTTTGAGATTGGCTCTATATAACCCAGACTGACCTGAAAGTCACTCCATAGTCCAAGTTTGCCTTGAACTCTGTGATTCTCCTCCCTCAGATTCTCAAGTCCTGGGATTACAGGTATTCAGTACCAACTTCTTACTTTCTTAATAAGCAATGTTTCCTCATGTTAATTTATCCCTTTTATATTTTATTTTTCAGTAACGCTGGTCACTAAAACATGGAGAAAACTATTAAAAGAAGCTCATATCTTAAACAAGAGAAAATAACAATCTCCCTTTCTCTCAGTTTATCATAGACAGTGCCTATAATTTCAAAATCAGGTGTATTATACTTCAGCAATTCTGATAAGATTAATAATTATAAAACAAAGGACCAGTTGTTCTCAAGAATAATGTAAAAATCTTATTCCAGAGAAAGGTTAGTAAAATTTCTGTAATAATGTTTTATTTCCACTATAATTCCCTAACAGATATCAATT